CCCCTCGTCCCCTCCCTCCTTCCCTCCTCCCCTTCGCCCCCTTCCTCTCCCCCCCCTCCATCTTCCCCTTCCCTTCCCTGTAGCATCTCGCGACCTCCACCAAAAGGACCATTATTTCCCGACCTGCAAGAGAACCTTGGAAATATCATGAAGTATTTAAGCTTTTGTTAGCTCTACCTGCCACGCCTGTACGTTATCTTCCATGAACGGAAAGGGAAAAAATGAATTAATGGAACGTCATCTCTTTTATTTTCTCTTGTCTCTCAAAAATAGAACACGGAAATAGGAACTGATATATAGTTGTAAAGCACATCGTCTAAATCCGGGTTGGGTAACTGATATGTCTCTTTGTTCTCTTCTGAAGAGAGTGTATGAAGTCATTCCCGTTTATGAAAGACGACGGCCCTTATCTTTAAATTCTGAAAAAAAAGTTTGATCTTGATCGTCTTATATCCAGAATAAATAAATAATAAAATAGAGATATATAAATAAGACTAAAGCGGAAATACGAATTATATTAAAGATCTATTCCCCTTGACTTCATTCATACAATAATATGACAAAACACGAACGCAGTGCAGCAAGAGGAGCCTCCTTGAAAAATACAACAGCCCGAAACGCAGCCGAATTTCAAGGCTATTTTCGTGTCTTGCATAAGCCTTGATTTGCCCTGTATCTTCTCTATTACTCGTAGTTAATGCTGCAATTGCTACTTACTGCTATTATTACCGCCGCTGGTTATGGTTGCTACTCACTTTTATTGCTTTCTTGTGACTGTTATTTTCTGGTCTTTGGAGAAATGGAAAGTTTTGTATTTTATAAATGTACGTAGTAGGAGGAAAATGTGAATACACTTAACAGAAATGGGGACATTTCACGAATAAATTACTGGAACAGAAACACAAAAATCAGCCACTCGTGTGACGATGAAATATCCGGGATTGACCTTTAGAAGTGGGCTCGAGTGCTTGTAATGGCAGGAAATAAAAGCAGCGTCATATGCAACTTCAATGAATAAGACATAATCTCTCTCTCTCTCTCTCTCTCTCTCTCTCTCTCTCTCTCTCTCTCTCTCTCTCTCTCTCTCTCTCTCTCTCTCTCTCTCTCTCCTCTCTCTCTCTCTCTCTCTCTCTCTCTCTCTCCTCTCTCTCTCTCTCTGTAAGTATTTGTGTATGCATGATTAAGTATGTGCGCACTTACATACACATGCAAATGTATCTGGGCATACCAGAATCCGTATAAGGCAGAGCTAATCAATCAAACAGAATTTCTTAAAATCAAAATTCTCTCGGCAGCCACGTCACGCCCTCATGCATTCAGGTTCTTCCATGTGACGTAATCCCCCCCCCCCTCCTGCTTTTCGGTGTTAGCGGAGGTGCCTCTTCTTTATCTATTTTACACATTTTTAACATCGTTATTTCTGTGGATCATATGTCATTATCATTACTTCTGTCGAGGTAAACATTATCATGGCATATATCAATTAATTATCAGCATTATTCTTCTGATAATTATTATCGCTTTTGCTTTTTTGTACCGTCATCATTATTGTTATCATACGCATTATAATCTTTATTATCATTATCATCATTGTTATTGTTAGAATTTTCTGTATCATTGTTTATGATTATGATTATCATCATCACCGCATTCATCGTACTCACTATCATTAACATAATCCTGTCAGATAGAGAGAGAGAGAGAGAGAGAGAGAGAGAGAGAGAGAGAGAGAGAGAGAGAGAGAGAGAGAGAGAGAGAGAGAGAGAGAGAGAGAGAGAGAGAGAGAGAGGAGGGAGGGGGGGGGGGCATTAAGGAACCGTTATTCACTAAGCATAAATTTGCGCCAGTCCTATCTCCTTATGACGTCATATCCTTCTTTGAAAGACATTACTGATACTTTTACTTTTTTCATAATTTTTATTGCCAACTTTAGATAATTACAGGACAAAAACAACTGTATATATCACGGCTATGCCCAAAAGAACATCTTCAAAAGAAAAAGAAATAAAAATAAATAAAAAAAAATATTTAAAACATCACACTCAATATTTTTTTACGCTCGTCGTGCAACCGAACTCCCAGAGGAACGATAAATCCGGAAACCAGCTTTGGCTGCACATGCAACACTTATTTTTAATTCCTGTGGCTTCCGCGGTTGACAGAGATTGGTAATTATTGCACGAAAATGAACATGAGATTGCCTTCCCTTCCATGCTGCGCTGATGACGCTCATTCCTTACTAATAATGCCTTGAGACAACCAGGCGGGCAATATGGCGTGGGGGGGGGGGGGGGTGCGGGAAAGATTCTCGAAAGTCGGAGAGACGTGTGAGCTTAGTTTTTCATTTTTCTTTGGCTTCCCTCCGCACTCTTTGTTTCTTTCTCCCTACTTTCCTATTTGTTCTTTTTTTTCTTTTATGTTCCTTGTTTTTCTCTCTCTTTCTCTCTCTCTCTCTTTCTCTCACTCTCTCTCTTTATCTATCTATCTATCTATCACTCTC